TCAGCTTCTTCGCACTCTCTCCGCTTCCCAGCGGCTACTAAAATGTGGAAGGCATGATTAGATGACGTTCACCAGCTGTGACAATCAGCCTCCCCCTGACACCATGCCCTAAACCCACTGCTCCACCCGTCCTCTGCAGTTGAGCCACCAACCACACCCCACGACAAATTCATTCATTTCTCATTACTATGCATTACTCTCATATACTGGATCATGTATAACATGCTGTGGTGAGAATAAGGCACGGCGGGACCACGGAGTATCATTCAGAGCCATCTTTATTTACATCTCACCACAACACATTCCCAAACCCCTGAGTCCCCGTGTTTTTAACTAGGCGGGCGTGATTAAGGATGCCGTGCAGGTGTGTCCGCCCTCCCTGCACGGCACCACAGACCACGCCCCACCACACATGCCTACAGTCTCACACACTTACCTAAATCCCTATCTAATGAGGACACGCTCCCTTTGAGTCTTTACGTTTTTAACACACGCTAACAGCATAGCTGAAAATGACAATGCATGCACTTCAGGTGTTCATTGTCAGCCAAGGTTTTTCTGTCTTGTGTGTAGTTTGCACTTTAAAATCACATTCATGTGATTAAAAATAAAATCAGTCCAATGGCTACTCCTCAGATGTTGCAGACCTCTCTTCCATATCCTCCTCCTTCCACATGAAATGAGCTAGGATGACTTTATGTACTTTAAATATTCTTTAAAGATAAAATTTTGTTACTGTGTCAGGTGTGTATGTGAATTACGTGCACATACAGTGTGTTGGTAAACTTAAAAGCATAAAAATGCAGTAATTTTATTTTTCTGTTTTTGTTGGCCATGGCACCTAAACTATGTAGCATTATTTGTCTGCACATGAGAGTCAGAGAAGTATTAGCACACAACTTCTGAGGCCAGTAAACAGCCCCCTCTGCTGGGTATCCTAGCAAACTACATGGAGCCGGTCTCTGGTACCTCTGCAGCCTCTTGATTTTCCAGGTAATTTCCAACCGCCTCAAAAGTTTGAAAAAAAAATCTCACCTATACAATCTAAAACTATACAATCCATTTTTTTCTATCCATCCATCCATTTTCTTTTCTTTGTCTGTGGCTGGGTCGCAGGGGCAGGTCTCCCACTCCCCAGCCACGTCCTCCAGCTTATCTGAGGGAGCACGAGGCATATCGAGGCCAGTCGAGAGCTGGGGCCTTCTTCTGGTAGGTAATGCCTGAAACACCTCACTCAGGAGGCATCTTAGTCAGATGCCCAAACCACTTCCTCTCTCAGGTTGCTGAACGCCTCACCCTATTTCTAAGGCAGAGCCCAGCTACCCTTGGAAGAAAGCTTTTTTTCAGCTGCTTGTATCTACAATCTCATTCATTACACTAAACACATAAGTGATTGTGGTGTCGTCCAAATCCAGCATAACATTCTGCCTACTGACAGGTAAATTGAATAACAGTGATTATCTCTTCATCATGGCAGCTGTGAGTGGGTGGAATATATTAGTGAGTAGTGAACATTTAGTCCTCAAATGATGTGTTGGAAGCAAGAAAATGTGCAAGTAGAGGGGTTTAAGAAAACAAAGCCCAGATGACTGGATCAGAGCATCTCCAAAACTGCAACTCTCGTGGGGTTTTCCTGGTCTGCAGTGGTCTGTCTAACAAAAGTGGTCCAAGGATGGAAGGGTGGTGAACCAGAGACGGGGTCATGTAGGGCCAAGCACCACTTAAGCCCACATGGTCCAATCCAATAGATGAGCTACTGTAGCTCAGACTGGGAAAAAGGTTCATGTTGGTTCTGATAGAAAGATGTTAGAATACACAGTGCATCGCAGTTTCTCAACTTACAACTTAAAGGACTTAAAGGTTACGGTCGTCACTTAAATGTCCTGGCTTTCTTCTAGTTCATTTTTGTAGTTCATGTGTTGAATCAGCTTGCCTTGTGTTTGATATCATTCACCTACCTGCTTTCACAGACCAGTGGATATGGGCTTTGGACTCATAGTAGACACAGTGGAAGCCTGCCTCCACATCAAGCCTGCACAGCATGTCATACATGCTCTTATTCCGGTCTGAGGTGGTGATATCCACCGCTCGGCCGTGATAGTGCAAAGACTCTTCAGGATAATAGCCATCCTGATATTTCTTTCTATTAGCTTCAAAACTAATTTTAAGTTAAGCTACACCTCATGATATAATAGATATCCATGGTTTAATTTTGTCTTTATTCCCCAACCCCAGCAAGTTAATTGCTGAGGTTGGGGAACAAAATCACCACTGTGAGAGAGAAGAGACCAAAACAAACCGACCAAAAGGGGAAAATGAAATGAGTTCCTTGTTTCTTATTTAAGCTTATCATTTTTGGTTTTCCAGCCCACATTTTAATCATTTTGATTTAAAAATTGAAAGATAAAATGGAAAATAACATAACGCTCAACAAACAAACCACTGGTCCCCCCATTAAAGAAAAAACACTTTCTCCTGCCAGTGCTTCCAAACAACCTATACGTCTTTTTTTTCTGATTCTCATGAACTTTTATCATCCGATCTGAAGCCTATAGAGTGGGAAATTTAGACAATAGGATTGTTTTATGTTACCATTCCCTCCAGTTGGACTCGCATTGGTTTGATGTTTGAAGCCACTTCATATGAAATGAATACCTCCATCATGTGCATTAAACATTAAAAAGTAACAAACCTGTTTTGAAAATGTGCGGATTCAATAGTACAAATATTCATGTAAAAATGTAGGAAGTAAAAAGTTGTTCAAAAACCAAAAAAGTACAGATACCTGAAAATTCTCCTCAAGTACAAAAACAAAGTACACACACACACACACACACACACACACACACTGCACTGTCATGAAGAGTAGAGTCTGATATATAGTTGTGGGTTTTCTGTATTTTTGTATTTCCACTTAGTTTTTTCTGGTTTAATATGTCTTGTTGTTGATCTGACTTTGCATTTAAATCATTTTAGAAACTGTTTAGGACCAGCTGATTCTTTTAAATAGCATCCTCATATGCAAACCATTAAAGGTGGTTGGGTGTCATCAAGGGGTGTAGACTAGATCTCCTGAAAGCTGCACGCTCAGTCCTGTCTAAGTTTACATCCACAGTCACAGTTTGTATTTGTGAACATTGCAGCATCTAACCTTTGGATGAATTAACTGGGATATGTGCATTACCCATAGATTAAACAGAATATAAAAGAATTTAAAATGAGCTTTAAACCTTCCCCAAAGGTTGATTCGGTTCATCTGGACGAAGCGTTTTGTGGGAGAAACGCTTCGTCACTCATCCAGTGGCGTCTTCAGTCTCAGCTGACTGCAGGTTTCAATCTTATAAACAGGACATTTGCATAATGACTGAAACCAGCCCACTGAAGGAACAATGGGCTGGGAGGTCATTTCCTTTAACTGACCTCACAGCCCATAATAATGAAAACACAGATGACATCTGACCAGGATTTTTGCATTTAGTCTTCAGTATGAGGTCCATTTTGATTTGTTTGAGTTTAGGTACCAAAACTACATCATTCGGCTTTGGAAAATATTTCGAACTGGGTTCAGACACAGCCATTTAAACCCTTCAACACATTCAAGAAAAGTCCATTCTCTTTGATCCGTGTCGGTTCTTAGCCATCCAAGTCATTGTAGAATAAGAAGCTTGGAAAGAACGCAGCTGGACTTGTTTAAGTTTCGTGGAGAAGTTTCACTTCTCATGCAAGAGGACTCTTCAGTTCTGAGAGTACTCTGAGCAGGTCATCTTGAATACATCTGGATGCCTAAATACACTTCCTGCAATTTAACTAGCCAATTAGTATAACCACACAGTAATAAACGGGTATACCTAATGAAGTGATTGTTGAGTATTAGTACACTATACAAATACCTTAAGCTCAAGTATAAAGCTTAGGGGTTCATGTTCATGTTCAAATGACATCCACCTATACAGTGTGTAGTGTTACTTTCCTAAACACTTAAGTCACCCTCGCCAAACTCCCAGTGGCGCCATCTTACCTAAGGTGTACTTCTGTCCAACTTCCCTGTCAGACATGCACCATACACACAATGCAGTTAACTGATAGCATTATTTAAAAGCTTTATTCAACTGAAGCTGGATATCTTAAGTTTAGTATCTTAAGTGACCTAGCCTACCTACTTCCAGAGGCGCAATATCCACAGACTCAGTCAATGCAGGCTGATGGACATCTCAGCCTGCACGCGTGCGATTGTGACCTTATGACGACACTTACCTTTGGTTTGAGACGTGGAGCACCTGAACTGGCTGCTTTCCAAAGCAATGCTGAATGGTCTGTGACAGACAGGGTAAGGCTGCAGCTCAGGAGGCTGAGCAGGTCATCTACTGATCGGCAGGTTAATGGATCAATCACAGGCTGTTCTGGTGAAGCGCTTTGAGTGCTCAGAGTAGAAAAGCACTATATAAGAACTGTTCTAAATATATTCAAATTTTGATAATTATCAATACAGATTTATATACTATGCCATCCAGAGACCGGAAAGCGGCACTGTTTAGTGCACAATGAGATGGAAATGTCCAGTGAGATCCCATCTGTGGTCGTCTGTCCTTTCACAGTGGGTTTTAGCCTGACATTAATTATGACGCCTTATTTATTCATCATTATCTGTTTCTTATGTCATGACCTGGCTCAAAGAAAGCAGGAGATTACAGGGTTTACTTTAATATCGAGTCAGCAAATCAGTGTATGCTACTCGCTTCAAAGTCCGACACTTTTTAAAAATGCTTTTTATGCTTTACACTTCAGTGTACACCATTTTAACCTGCCTGTCACTCAAAGTACTCGAGTTTGCTTTACAGTAAAAAATGCAGCATTATCATTGGCAGTATTCCAGTCGTCCTTCAAGTCAAGACCGTAAGCAGAACTACTGCCTACAACCTACGTCATCATCAGCAAGATTTACTCTATACTGTCCACGTTGACTGTGCATCTGTGAAAACCGTGATGATGGCTTGATAGTATTCTTACTTTCCAGAACACTAAGCAGCAAACAAAAAACCTTAAATAGAACTTGAATAGTTACATAATTATCATTAAAATACAAACTATTTATTCAGAAAGGTGTTCTGCACTTGCACCGATGGATTAAACATTTCCCGTGTCACGCTAATGTACATCTATAATAAAAATATCTCACAGGCTACACTGATGTGGCTCTGTTGAAAACTCACCACCATCAGCTGACCATATTACTGTACTGACTATATTTAAAAGAATCAAATGTTGAACTGTTTTCCCACTCAGAAAGATTCTGTGGAATACTCGGCCACGCCCACCAATTGGAGATTTCCCACCAGGTGTTTCTTTCAGCATTATACAACTTCTCTTAACTCTCCTCCAACTTCTTTTGAAATGTTTGCTGGTATAAAATGTACAAAATGCATTTCAAAATGGTCTTGATTGGTTTCGTTTTGTTTTTGTATTATTTCAATGAGGTCTGCAAATCCCAGGATTATGTTTTTATTACATTTTGCACAGTTGAGTCTAAATTCTAGCACAATATGTATTGTATACATTACATCAACACAAATATTAAATGTATTAATAGCACAGGGCATCTCTCCAAAGCACGGAGTTGGTATCTAATCAAAACGCTGATTTTGACAGTGGTCAAATTAAAGGAAAAAGAGCATTTCACTACGAGTTCAAGCCGCCATGTGCCACTGATTCTCCATGTCTATGGATCTGTAGTGGAGAGATGGGCCGCGATTCTTCTGTAAGATATTCCATGTTTTGATGATGGAAGTGGAGAGCGTTATCTAACACTGGTCCAAACTCTCCCCAGACGGGGGAGATGTCACTCATTTGCAAGTCTTCCTTGCAAAATGTCGCACACAGAGCCGCCTCCCGTCTCCACGGTGCTGGTCATCAGATCTGAAGCAGAGCGCTGTAGCTCTAGTCAGGCTCACTGCTGCTGGGAGAGGACGGATGGAGCTGGGTGCAGTACTTCAGAGGGACGTCCAGACCCACCACAGGACCCACCACACTGAGCCACAACAACACATAGTTCACTGGCCTACACACACACACACACACACAAATATGTATGAATCCAGCTTTTCAAAAAACAGAGGAAGCAACAACTGCATCAATAAGAAACCTGCAAAGAGTCACGATGTACAGAGTCGACACCCTCTGTCAGCTCAAACTTTTATATACTGGGACAACAAAGGAACCAGATCTTTACCAGGTTTTAAAAGGATTTAAATACAGACTCGGATAAACAACAGAACATGAGGTATTATACCACGCTGTTACTTATTGAACAAAAACTAATCCAAAACGCAGAAGCAGAGATGTCGACAGCAGGACTGTATTTCATGTTACTGTCCTCAGACTGGTTTGATGTTTCAACGCACGATCGTAGTGATGCTAAACTCGTGTTGCAAATGACTCTGAAAAGCAACGAGACTGAAAATGTAACGAGTTGAAATCACAGATATTCGTATAAAAATGCAGGAAGATGTTAGAAAAAGAAAAAAGTACCTGAAAATTCTACTTAAGTACAAAATCAAAGTACTTGTACACACACACACACACACACACACACACACACACACACACACACACACACACACCTGTATTTCTGCTTAGTTTTGTTAGTTCCAATATGTCTTGTTGTTGATCTGACTTTGTATTTAAATCATTTTAGAAACTTTTTAGGATCAGCTGATTTTCTTAAACAGAATCTTCATATGTCACCATCAGAGGTGACAGAGGGTGTAGACTAGATCTCCTGAAAGCTGCACGTTCAATCCTGTTTAAGTTTACAGTCACAGAGTAACAACCAGAGCTACGAGTGGACAGCTGCAGAGTCCTACGGTTCCCGAGTTAATACTTTGAACCAAACTGACATTCAGTTAGTGAAAGCAACAACACGGTGTATGCGTCAGTGTGACACCATGTGTGTTGATGTGATCTGATTTTGCAGCAGCAGAGCTGGTCTTGAAAAAGCGTCCAGTTTTCACTAATGTGGACCTAAAAATAAGTTTGTTTTTTGAAATGCAATCCAAATCCAACCAGGCTAAAAATACAAAATCAGAAACATGCCACAAAAGCCTGAGAAATATTTTAATACAGGAGTCAATGTTCCCGAGCTGCCTGATCAACAGAGCAACACTGAGCTACCTCAGAGTTTTACATCAACAGTGCTGTGGTTCGGCGACCCTACCTGGGCTGTTCCTGAGCCTCCTGCAGCACAGGCCTCATGAACTCCTCCGTTCTACAGGGGTGGAGCATAAAGAAAGGCTGACCCAGCAGAGGATGCTCCTGGCACACAGACACAAGAGTAAGTGGACTGTCAGGAGAAAAGTAGAGATAATGATGCCGAGACTTCCTTTACCTGTTGAGTGATTGCAGTCAAAGGACTGTTCTGAAGGCAGTGTCTGAAGTTTGGATGAACAGAGCTCCACACGTCCTCTAACATCAGACTCCGACCCTCTGACAAAGAGCAGTGCAAAACGGGTGAGTTTATACCACAGGGACCTGCTGAGGGACGACCTCCTGCCACAGGTTGGTGCATCATCACCAACATTAAGTCTGAGTCGCCTTTATACTGATGAGTTTAGTTTTCATTCTTCTGCCCTTTGTTCTGCTGTTTGTGTTTTTGTGGTTGTGTTACTCGAGTTTAACCAAACATCATCACTTCCACCTGTGTACGTGATTTACACAAAATACCGAGTCCCTTGAAAGAGCTACACAGCAGTTGTGGAGAAAGCTGCTGCGGTGAAACACAGCTAACATCATGTTGGTGGCGAGTGGCAGCAAAGGCAAACGCTGCGGTATCCTGCTCAAACAGGAGGACACGGGGGTAGGTGTGTGTGTGCAGTGGCTGCCTTATGTGTGACTAACCCAGGGTGAAAGCTCTGAAATACAGCACAGGAGCACTGTAGCTGCAAGAGTACAGGATGTGATACTCGTACTGAAGCACGTGGCTGCTGCCTTCAGACAGCATGCAGACCGCATCGTCCTCATCACCGCCGTCGCCTGTGATGCCATCAGAATGAAAACGGGTAGCAACAACAGGCTGTGGAGGAAGAGACACGATTAGTGATATCTAGTGGAGAGACAGCTGGAAAATGAAGCGCTGTTCAAGTTTCACCTGCGTCCTTTCCTGTTGCTGCAGTTCTTGGATGGGGTGAGCGAAAATAGGGGAAACTGAAGCAGCTTCCTTCTGTTTCTGTGCATCACAGCAGTCAGCTACGACTGACCTGAGAACAGTCTTCCTGAGGTAGCCCTCTTCTGAACCCTGTACCAAAATCAGACTGCCTTTAAAGCACAGCTCCAGGCTGCTCATCAAGATCAAGATTGAGAGGCCTCCTCACCTGGACTGCCTCCCAGCTCCAGCCATCTCTCAGATGCTCAGACTGCTGCAGGAGGAGCTGACAGCAGGAAAAGAACTCCTTTTCATTCAGCGCACACCCGCTCATCTATGCAGAGGACACACAAAAACAAAACAGTATTTCATGTATAGTCAGACTGTGGGTGCACGTGTGCCGATATAAGTTGGGTGCATAAATATCAGGACCAAGACAACTCAGATGCAGGTGAAGTGAAGCCTTTCAGCTTTCATTCAGCAAGTTGAACTAAAAGTTTGCATAAAAATATTAGTAACTAAAGCATTTATTTAACACAATCCTGTTTGTTTGTGGGCCTGTCTGTCTTCAACACATGAAATGCTCAACTGGGTTAAGATCAGGTGACTGACTTGGTCATTCAAGGATATTCCACTTCTTTGCTTTAATAAACTCCTGCAGTGCAAGCTGTCCAGCGTTCTTCATGGACCACTGGATATGGACACGCCTTACTCATGGAGAGTGTTGTTCACGTGATTGGCTGTTGTGAAGTCTTTTCTCATCACCATGGTAATGATTCTGCAGTCATCTGTGGACGTCCAGGTCTTTTTGTGTTTCTGACTTCACCAGTGCTTGCTTTCTTTCTCAGGATGTACCAAACTGTAGATTTTCCATATTGTAAAGAAATTTCTTGGATGGGTTTGTTTTTGTTTGTTTTTGTAGCTTCAGGATGGCTTGTTTCCCTGCAGCTCCTTTGACCACATGTTGTCTGTTCACAGCAAAATCTCCAAATGCAAGCACCACAGCTCAAATCATCTCCAGGCACAAGGAAGGAACTGCCCACACCTGCCTGAAACAGCCTTTGAGTCAACTGTCCAATTACATTGGTCCCTTTAAAAACAGGGTGGCACATGTTAAGGAGCTGAAATTTCTAAACTCTTCATCCAATTTGAATGTAGATAGTCTACACATCATGTCCACGTCCATTATAGAACTATAACTGGAATGTTTCAGTAAACGGGTTAAAAAACTAAACTTGTGTCAGTGTTCAAATATATATGGACCTGATTGTCTTTGAGCTCATTTTACGTACAGATGCACTGACCTCATATTTAGATGGAATATTGCTTAAAGGCAAGAGGACTCGTGTATTTCACCCTTGCTGTGACAGCGTTTTTCCTACGTTTGCATAAGTGTTTAAGTTGACTGCTAACTGTGAGTTACCAAACCTAAATGCGCTCACGCTAGAGATGCTCTTCTGCTTCTTCACTCCCTCTTGCTCATTATGGTTGATGTAACAGTTGTTGGGACACTTTTGTTACACTTACAGTAACGTAAAGCATCGTCTTAATTGATATTATCCCTTATTGTCAGGGATTCCACATGGGAGGTGAAGAACCACAAATTGTTCATAGTTAAAGCAAAGTTACGTGCTACATATCTGTATGCATGCTCAAACAACTGGGTAAGTACATCCCAGAAAGTTGATTCTTTTCATCTGGATGCAGCGTTTTTGGTGGGAGAAACGTAATGCAAGCTCTTCAATGCAACCACAGCATTGTAAGAGCTTGAAAGTACCCTTAGTGCACAACCAGCCAAAGCGCCACAAAGACTGCTGGCGCGACACGTGATGGGACACAATCAGTCTCCTCAGACCGTGACCTGTCCTGATGATAAGAGGTTAAAAACAGAGCCAAATGGTCCGACTGTCCAAGGTGGACGGCTGTGCAGGTCTTGGAGGATCCTCTGATGTTGGTGTAAACCTGATCCAGTGGTTTTCCACTCCATGTTCCAATGGGAACGTTTTTGTGGCACTTTGGTAACACAGACTTCAGGTTTGTGTGGTTAAAGTCCCCCGCCATAATAAAGGAACTAGCCGGAAGTCTTGTTGTTTACTGATGGCATCATGCGGTCTACTCACAGCTAATTTTGCACTGGTCCAAAGATGACTGTACACAGCAAAGACAAACAGTGTGCTACGTTCAATGCTGAGATGAAAAGGTGTCCATTTTAGCAATGTGAACTCCGAGTCTGTGGAAAATGTTTTTCTCCAACAGTGACATCAGTCCAGAAGTAGTCTTTCAACAAATGCACACACCTCTTCCTTTGTTCTTCTCAGCCTCTGGTGTGCAGTCCACTCTGTAGACACTGTGTCCCTGTGTTTCCACAGCTGCATCTGGCATGTTTTTAATACAGCCATGTCTCAGAAATTATTGTTCCACACCTGTCACTGACAAACTAGAGTCTCAAATCATCCGTTTTGTTGAAAAGTGAGCGAGAACTAAACTGTGCCGAGACTAACGTAGCCCGGCTCTAATCAGAGTGTGCAGGTCCAGTCGGTTTTGATTCCAGGGCTGAATTTCTAAAAAAGAGATTTCGCTTTGAGGTGGATCAGTGTTCTTTTTGTACTGATGTAAATGAAACCCTAAAACAGTTTTTCCATGCCCTATCACACAATGCTTTTGGTGTGACATAAAAAATTGGATTTCTCTAAAAATGAATGATGTGCCACCATTTGAACTATATCATGTTTTTTTATATGGATCATCTAGCTTTGGATGTCTCTGTCAGAGATATTTACCCAACATGGTATTGAGTAAATATGATATCCATTGTGCTAGATGGAGGAGCTCTAAGCCTTCTTTCCCTGGTTTTATTAATGATTTTAAGTGTTTTTTCTTCGCTTAAAAAGACAAAGAGCAAATATGCCAAAAACTTTTACCAGGGTATTGCCCACCTCCTGCTATTCTAAATTTTGACTTATTTTATGTTTTTTGTTTCACTGCTCCCTTTATGCACAATTTAAATGCCTGCCATGTATCTTTTCTGTTGTTTTAATTGTACTTTTTTATTCATTTACTTTTTTATTATTCCCCTAATGCTGTATTTCTTGTACGGTTTCTAATTTTCATTTGCATTATTATCCGTGTTCCTCTTTGAGAGTTTGTATTTTGCAATTGCTCAATAAAAAAAAGTTTGTTTTCCGGATCACGTGACCACTGCCTTCATGATTCATACGTGGGTTCCTCATCCGGCTCCTGAGACGTGTTTATACCGCCGCCATATTGCAACGGGGTTCCTCGGGTCAGCCCAAAATAACAGAACATGCCAGACTTCTGTGCCGCTCTCGGGTGCTCTAATCAAAGGAACGCCAACACCAAGCAGCAGGGAATAACTTTCCACAGGTGAGCCGCTACAACACTACTGCTGTACGAGCATAGCATCTGGTTTACGACTATTAGCGTTTCTTCACACAGCAGAGTGTCAACAGCTTTAACACAGTTATTTAACTTTAAGCTGCCAAAACATTAAAGCGTCAGTGAGGCTGAACATGGAAGCTGTGAGTCAGCTGGGTGCTGTAGTACTGACCCACGGCACGCGACGGATGCGTTGTCTGTGGTAATGTTGCTCCTGTGTGCGGGTAGAAAACGGCTCCGGTTTATTTCATCGGCACTCACCAAGCACAGCACTGCGCGACGGGTCCCGTACGAAACTGCCACATCCGTTTTACGACAGTTCCTACCGCTTTCTGTCATGGCACCGAGTGACGTTGCTGCAAACGTATTTATTATTTATGCCACAGTGATGTGCGACACCACTGATTTCCTTTCCGATCCGATACTTTGTACAGAAACTTAATGTGTGATTTAAATTTGTAGCTTCATAACGATCACAGGACATCAGACAACTTGTCCTTATTGTTTAATTATGAAGGATTATCATGTAGAAATGAAAGCCTGAAGTTGTGCGTTAACTGACGTTATGTGAACACGTATATCGTGTCATTTAACATGTATGTACTTGCCTGGACATTTCAACAAAAACACTCTACATTCACACTTTCCCTCATCCACGGTAGTGCAGCGCCACACTACACATTTTGGTATCGATCCAATACCAAGTAAACACAGGGCCACTATTGCCGATATCCGTACCAATAATTGTAAGTTATTCAGGCAGCTGATTGGGGGAGAGTGGTGTGCCATCACTTACCAGATTAAGTCTCAATTTGCAAATTCTGAGCACATTTTGTTCACCACTATATCACTGTCATTGTTACTTTGCAGAATAATTAGTTAACACAACAAAACGCACCTTTCAGCTTGTCATGTGTTTTGAAACTGGGTTTTTGGTGACCTGGAATGTAAATGTTTCTGTCTCTAAAGCCCACAAAAGGGTTTGGAAATTTTTTGTAGTGCATGTTTGAGGTTTATTTTTTCAAAGAAATAATTAACACAGTTCAGCGGGCTACATACTGAATTTGAAGGATGAAAGCGAAGTTGGACCGATCCACCCGCCTCTAACGTTTACGTTGTAAAGTGGGACTCCAGTTATTGTTCAGACAACAAGAACAATGAATTGCATGGCCTTCTAAAAGTGATATTGGAAAAAAATAATAGCTGATTTTTGAATCCAGTAAGTTCAGGTAACAGATGTCTTCATGTACCTGTATGGAGATATTTCCCCATTCAAACAGCAGTGCCCACTTTGTCCCAATGCGCCTAAACAAGAGGAAAATGCTGCTCGTTTGTTTCAGGCAATCCAGCACACCCAGATCTTTGGAGAGTCTCAGCTGCTGGAATAGTTTTTGATCATTTGTTTCTTCAGATGTTAACTGTAATTATTAGAGAGATTATTATATTTTTGTCACACTCTTCCTTGAATACTTGAGATAAAAAAATCTAACTTTAGTGCTTTGTATGTTAGAACTTTACTCTTCTCATTGACTGAAGCACCAACAACAGCACAAGCAAGCTTGGGCCGGGGGCTAGTTACGTGGTGCAGACGGGGGGGCCTGTGACTGCCCCTGCCATGCTTTGTGTTCCCCTGCTGAAGCATGAAAGAGGCTGGGGGTTTATGAGTCATGGTTCAGTAGAGCACGCCTGTCCTTGCAGGGGTTTGTAGCCTCTTGGATGTTGATGTGACTCACAGCCACAGGTTCAGATTCGATGGGGGAAAACAAGAGACAGTTCATCACGAGAATGTGCTGAATTTCAGATCTTATCTTTCAGATATCAAAGTGAACATGAAGCTCATTCTAGGAGCCAGAAAAGAGAATTCTCCTGGGTATGCCCACTGGGTAATGACTTGCAGCCAATCAGTGCGCAGTGTCCTTTGTTTCTCAGTCAGAACCAGCACTTCCACACGGTCAAGGGAAAAACGGCTTAAGGCTCCATAATGGGATATGGTGAACACAAAAACAGGCAGCTGTGTTGAATCAGCATTGCTAACATGAAATGAGAAAAGCTGAGAATAGTTCATTAAAAGGAGGACAGGGTGCATCAACATGTGGTTGTGTGTATACAGCGCTGACTTTGAAGCTCAGAGGGGGGAAACCTCTGAGTTCTGAGGGACCACAGTAGTGTACTGTGTACCTTGTTGCTACAGACAACAGGACTACATGCTGTTCTCCTCATAAGGCTCTTATCTCTGTAGGTTCCCGAAGGACAAAGTTAAAAGGCAGTTATGGAAAATGGCCCTGAAGAGAAGAGACTTTGAGCCAAATGACCGCTCGGTTGTCTGCAGCTGTCATTTTAAAGCAGAAGACTTTGACAGGACTGGACAGACAACTCGTATAAGAGAAGGAGTGATCCCATCAGTTTTTTTATTTACAAGACATCTTGGCAAGGTGAGTATCACATATCACAGGCTGTGTTGAACCGAGTGATAACTGTGAGGAAAACCTTTTGCACTCTGAACCTTCCCAGGCACATACTGCAACCAGAACAAGCAGGACCTCTCAGAAAGCTGCAGAAGAACCCCCACAGGTGCAGGCTGTGGAGCAAACGGCATCTGTGAGTGACAGCTGCCGTTTACACATTCTGGACCGTCATCAGTTAGAAAGCCACTTTTCATTCAGTCGTAATATTTTTCAGGATCATCAGTATGCTCTAGACCCAGTGCAAGTAAAAAAGCGGTTAAATGAGGCCCGGGAGAAGTTGGAAGAATTGCGTCGGGACTTAAGAAATGCTAAGGATCGGGAAAGAAGGCACAAAAAGACAGTAAAAAGCTTGCTGGAGGATTTGAAACACAAACACATGCTCTCAGAAGAACTGCAGCAAAGACTGGATGATATTCTGCTTGGCTAAACTGTGGCCTCTCTTTGTCGCTCCACTGGCCTGCGATGTTCCTAAAAAAACAAAAAAAACGTTGCTCAGATTTGATATTAAAGTTCTTAAAAAAAACAGTGTTTCCGTGACAACATGTGGGTTATATTAGTGTGATCCTTTGTAAATGTTCAAAATAAAATCTATAACACTTTTTTAAAAACCATAACAAGTGAAGTGATAAACAGTGATAGACGTTTATCAAACATGACATTCATACTGGAAGCAAAGGAACCTCTCACTCATGTCTCATTAAGTGCTCGTCAGCAAGCAGTAGACCAGTGCATCACCTGAGAGCAGACCAATGTTAACTGCCACTCAGGAAGCGGTTCCTCAAAGACCGCTTTGTTCAGTGTTAAGAAGCATCCTTCCGGAAGTCTTCAGCTGGGCTGCTTTGACAAACGTAGCAGCACAGGTCGCTGTGTGCTGCTGTTCCAGGCTTTAGAGCAATTTGATGGAATTACCTGACAAATAATCTGACCTGCTGTGTTGTGGTTTCAAGGCCTGATATTGCACATAACCTAAGTAGTCTTGCAGACACAGCATGCTAACGATGTCTTAGTCAGGAGCGTCTAAGATCCACTCCAGAAGGCTCGGCTTGTATCTCACGGCAGAGTTGTGTATAATCCCGCAGCGTTTTACTTTCACATTAGATTTTATGTGACTATTGTCAATTCTTTCCCGTTTTGTTGAACTATTCCATTGTCTGCTACACAAACCCAGATTCTTAAGCATTAACAAGCTGTTCTTTTAAGCTTGGTTCATGCGTGTTATAGAGCTCAACCTTCGTGCAGCTCCTCTGCAGTAACATTAAGCACACCTTTGATCTCACGAGTATCCAATCAGATCTCGAGACATATTTTTGTACTCTTACAATAAATCATTTCATCTCTTATAGTCACTCCCATTTATATTTATTTAAAAGCCCAGCTCTATCATTTAGAGTTGCTAGTATTGAACCGATCATTGTAATACTTGAAGTTAACAACCTTCACCTTGAACGAGTTCAGTTTATTTCTGTAGCACCAGATCACAGCAGTCGTCTGTGCCAGCCCAGCTTCACGTTTGGACTGAAGAGAGCAGCCGCTGCTCAGGTTCCACCATCTTAGTTTAACAGGTCAACACTTACAAACATGAGCGGCAAGACATGGGAAAAGAAGACATTTATTGAAATAATGCAAAAGAAACTAAACACGAAGACATTTTTGTAATTTTTTTCTCCCAATCAAGCAAAATGTAACAGTTTCCACATCAAAAAACATGATCAACACTGAAACAGTCATGCCCGGCTCAATCCGACAGTTCTGTTTGAGGGTAACAGCAAAACAGCAGAGCTTTGTTCCTGGTCTTTTATAACACAGAAAAACTGAAACACAACACACCGTCCTTTGAAAATCAAATATATACATTTTCTTACAATATTTACACTTTGAATGAAAAGTAAAACAATTACCACTCTACATCCTTCTGTCCCGGAGTCAAAGAAAAAGCACATCATGTCGACAAAAGTGAAAATGGCACACAATGTCGCTGCTGCCGTACCATGCTGTCAGGGAGAAGCAGCAGGGTTTGCTTGATTCCACAAAGGATGCTGGGAAGACGTGAGACAAATGAAGGGTCAGGAACATGCTCAGCCTCAGGACAGGGCCAGTCCTCCAGCTGGCTTCACTTCACACACTTGAGGATCACTTGGTTGGTGTTTTGTCTAATAACTCTGAGCTAGGGGTGGGGTTGTTGCTATTGTGAATGGGTCTATGTTAACCTAAATCATCAGAAGCCCCTCGGACACTGCACGACTATGGTAACGCGTGTCCTGCTTTACTGTTAATTATCTTTTACACAGGAAGCATCGCATTGTGTTCACTAAAACATCAAACTAGTGACTAAGACCAAAAACATAGTAAAAAGGGTTTAGGAGAAGTGGGCTAATTGTGTCACACATTTGCATACATGCAGTTGGAGGGTTCCCCCTGCTTGTCATTAAAAACAATGCTTTGACTTATTAAACATTTTAACCCAAACCACATAACCTGCAGCTGATAATCGGGTGTTGTCGCTGCATGTTCCTAACCAAACAGAGTAGAAAAGCACGATATAAGAATCAGAGTTTAACAATGAATTTCATGACTTTTTTAAATGTTTTCAGAGCACTAGTTTGACATTTTTAGAGGTCATATTTATATTCAGTATGCTGACAGTATCACTGTTCAGCATCATCTAATTATATCCTCTCCAATGTTAAGTGGGTATCTTCAGTTGCTTTCATGTTTACTATCATTTTCACTTGTGCTGGCAGTGTGTGCTCGCTGACTGAAGAATCAAGCGCTGGTTCGGGATCTGACGAGAGCCTTTTAAGGCATACTGACACTTAGACTCATGACACAACTCATTGCGTCTCCTCTAAGGTGCAGAGGCTGCTGGGAGAATGATGAGTCCTCAGAGAAAACCACTGCTTTCCTGGTACTTGTTTCCTTGTTTCCTTGCAGCTGAACTGAGTTTTTGTTTCACGAGGCACGTGCTATTTTCAAGAATTTGATGTTTGGAGGGTTTTTGAGATTATTACAGCTATACACTTTGTTCATAATTACTCAGAAGAACAAGCATTCTACTGTGACCCTAACTGCTCCAGCTCAGCAAAGACACGTCCCTGTGCATCATTTCAGGAAACAAGAACTTGTTCCTGTACCTGAGAGCACTATGTGAACAGCTAACCAGTGATGTACATTTAGAAATGTTTCATATGTTACATTCACTTATGACTGCATCTACGCTGCACCTGGAGTTCTGTAAGTATGAAACATTCAAAGCTGTAAGACATCTGGCAGCAGCTGTGTCCATTAGGTGAAGCTTTTCCATTCTGACACTGATTGTAAGCACGAAGGTGCTTTGAGCAAGCAACTTGTTTTTGGTTGTATTTGAAAGTGGACAGCTTTATAGGGAGCTTAACTAACATGTGAGTCATCTTACCCCCAACCCAAATTCAGTTTAACGTGGCAGAGCAGACTCCAGCTGTTTCAGACGTTTATGCTTCCACAGCACCAACACTATCTGCAGTGCAGGATGAGGGGCAGTGAAGTGAAGCCAGCAGGGTGCTTGGACCTTTGCAGACCTGTAAGTGAGCTAAAAGGAGGTGGTGGTGGGGTAGATGGAACTGCTGGCTGAGGCACTGCATTCACACCCATATGGCTTCAGGCCTTCAGACATGTCAGCGGCTTGCAGACAGATGTGAAGGGTGGTGTGGAACTCAGTAATCCGGCCACCGTCATTATTAGGAGCAAACAAAGACAGAGCGAAAGACTTTGCTCCTGTGATGGACTGACTGAGGGTTTGGATACAGTAGAGAGATGGAGTCGGCGCCGGGTGGCAGACGCACTGCTGGAGCTGTGTGTGGCTGCAGCGTGCAATCAGCGTGAGCAACACTTCAGTCTGACACCTTCATACACTGTTCTGCACTGCAATACGGTATGCATAATATTGCTTTCAGTGTAGGTGTTTGCACATGGTGATACATGATGATTTGTACCAACACTGTTTCGACAGGAGAGTCTTGGTGTCCTGCAGCTTCACTCACGTTCTCATTAGGTTTCCACTGCAATAAAGGTTTGGACCGTCTGTGGATACATCTACAGGTCTGATTGTTTCAGCTTCTTCAACACCGGGCGTTTGGTTTATTTGGCTGCCACCAAAGAAAAGTCAGTAGTTGTGGTCTGTTTAATAGTCCCACTGACATCGGCGGCATGAAGTCAAGGTTTGGTACTTTAACACTTCTGTTGATGTCACCCTACGTCATGAAAGCAGCCTCACGGAAGAAATCTGTTCATTACCACAGTTAATTTTGACTTGAGTGGTACAATGGCTGTCTGAATGGGGAAAGGCTCCAACCCTCTGTGACCTTAAGATGGAGAAGTAGTTGGGAAATTCCCATTAAAACCACGGCTCTAATATCAAAAGCTTTCAAATTGAAACTAGAGGTCATGGTTTTCTCTAGAATACTGTAGACTCTTCACTTTACAGTGTAAAGTGCTTTGAGGTGACTGCTGTTGTGATCTGGTGCTAAATAAATACACCTGAATTGAATATGTTGTTTACAGATATCCCACCACAGGACACCTAAACTCTCCGCTGAAATGTTCTGTTGGCTGACACGGCAGCGTAATGAGACATTTGGCGATAAAGGCCAAAGAGTGCAATGATTTGATGGTGCAACCACATAAATATGCTCAGAGTTTGTGACATTAGTTTTTGTTTCATGTTCCTTGCTTTCCTTCTTGTCTCACTCACCACCCGCTCCGATGTCTTTATTTCGCAACTCTAACACCGTCTGTATTTCAGAGTTTTTCAACAATTTGCAGCAGCTTCATTGAGGCAAGTGACGAAGTCATCAATCCATCCTTTAACAGTCACTTTACGCAAATATCAAGTGATTTTACCGAGTTTGCTCTGACAGTTCAGTCGTGTTTGCAGCGGCGTCTTTCACAAGGTGTGTTCAGCAGCCTCATCAGCACTGCGTGCGGGCTGTTCTCACAGTGGACATTTGGACTTGTTACTGTAGGAAAGCACAGACGATGACTCCGTTCCACCAACTTATGAACAGTGACAAGTTATGGAAACAGGTGCTACTTGATAAGGATTTTCACTTTTTATTTAAAATTCATGTGCTGTTTAACCGTGGGTTATAGCAACAGGCATTTTATTGGGGCCATTTGTTAACTGCAAACCTCACAGTGTTGCTGTCTAGGGTTGCCAACTGCCCCGTTTTAGCTGTATAATGAGCAAACACTGGTTTGCCACTTAGTCCACTTTAAATGTCCCATTTATTGACCATTACCTGCAATGTCACATACAGTGCATATGTGCACTACACCCAGCTGGTTGTGTATTGTGCTTCTGGCATGCCAGAGTGTCCCGTATTTGTTAGCTAAAAAGTTGGCAACCGTATTACTGTAAGTGAATGATGCTACTGATGTTTCTGATAAGGCAAAAAGCTGGAAACTGGGGAGCTGATCACCTCAAACAATCAGAAAAGTACTGTGAGGAAGAACTTCTGTGAGATGCTAGACAAACCACAACGAGTGTGACGTCATTCACCAATGGTTTAGCAATAAGCTACATGCGCTGCATTGAGTGCAAATTTAGGCAGATTGTGTGAAAGACAGCTGCCTCCGTCCAAGAAATGTGCTGATTTAACGGGTCTTTGTTGTTTAAGCTTTCAGTTTATCACATGTATACATTTACTATGCAAACTTAGTCACAGGGTCAGAGGTTGGGTTTTTTTTGTTTCTTAGTGTCCCAAAGGGAGAACATATCCAAAGTATCTGTAATGAGCGATAAATGTAAGCAAGACTGAGGCCTGTATAAAATATTTCTGTGCTAGCTAAAGACAGTTAACCTGTAGCTTTATTTTTCTAACAGACAGCATTTGTGAGGTAAGATGATGTTCAACCACTTACAACTGGCCGACTGTTTCCTACTGAGGATGTGACCATGAAAGAGCACAAAAGTGGACTGAGGAACATTTCAAAGACGATGAGTGCAGGTGTCAAAGGCTACATTTAACAGAGTGTCAGTCGTACTGATGTCTGACAAGTCCAAATGTCCTCTGTGAGAAACGTCTTCAATCCTTTCTACTGCGATGGCCACATTATGGATCCTTGGACAAATGTAGTGCATTTCACTTTTGTTCCTGTTGCTTACACAACAGTTCATACAGTGTCCACAGAGAAGCAGTTAACGGCCACTCTAGAGTAAGCACTGAATTTGCCTTTCCTCTTCTTGTTCTTGGTGTTTTTCTTGTTCTAAACTTTGGAGGACTGCAGTCTTTGTCTTTTCTAATAATCTTCAGACGCTATTTCGTCTCTTTCCTTACCTGGCTTGGGTTACACCTGTGCACTCCTCCCTCTTTCATTCAGCTACACACAGTTGAAAAAGTTTTCGTTCAGCAATAAGACAACAGCCTCTTTATCTTTAGCCTAAAGAACCTCCACTTCTAAACATGGGACACTTTGTGTGACTCTCTCGCCTGCTTAATGCTATATAGCCATTTAATGACCCTTGCATTTCGCTCCACAGCCGAAATGCCATATGGCACACGCTCCCCAGCCTCCTCCTCTTCGTCCTCACCCTCATCCCCATCTGACAGACCATCATTGGAAGATCGCCGAGAACGGTCGCAGTCAGAGGAAATCATAGAAGCTGATCGGAAATTCAAACTGACGATATCCGAGTTGGCCCGTGCAAAGTTCTCCGGACCAACCGCCTCCAGCTCCTCAGGGTCGAGTCCGCAGTAGTTAAAAAAGCGTTCCACGTCAGCTCCGGCCCGGGCGTAACGGTCTGACAGGTCTGATTTAGATCTGTGCAGCGAGGAGCGACGTGCCACTGACGAACCAGGTTCTAGCTCGAGGTTAGGATCAGCTAACATTTTTGAAGGATCTCCAAGATCACAAGGTAGCGACTGAGGGGTGGTGTTGTCACAAGGTGAGGGGGATGGGGCAGGACGAGGGGGAGGCAGTGACAAAGAAAGTGCAGGAGGAGGGAGGGAAGCAGGTTTGGGTTTTGGAGGGAGGGGCGGAGCTGAGGAGCTACTGGATCGTGCAGTACGGAGCGGCTTGCCATTGCACAGCCGCAGGAGGTCGGAAGATGAGTGGGAAGTAAGCAGAGGTGGCAGCGGGGACCGAGACCGATCCATAACGCCTCCTTCGCCGCTTCTCTCATCTTGGACTCGTCTGCTGAGATTCAGGTTTCCTCCCTGTTGCGGACTGCGACGCCCCCCGCTGTTGATCGGGGGAACCTTCAGTGAATGGGAGAAGGATCGGAGGGAGTGTGAGGTGCTGGGACTGGGAGTCGAGTCGGGTGGTTGTTCGTTAAGAGTCATGGTAGACCGATAGGTTAACGGCATCCTAGGAGCAGAAAACAGAAAGCTAAAATCCAAGGAGTCCAGCACAAACTAAATAAAGACACAGACACAAGTATTTGGATGGTAGCTTAGCTTTTGAAAACTTGCCTTTATAAACCACCACCATCAGCAGCCAAGTTAATGAACACCAGCCAACTGAGCGGTTGCTATAAGCACAGAGCTAGATTTACTTTTGATGTGCACCAGAGCAAGCCCCGATTTTGGTGTTGGAACCTCCTGGCACTAAAGAGAATCCGTGACCGCACAGCTGAATGTTAGCACCGCCCACAGCTCTTACAGTATTTGGCTACGTTAAATAGGTACCATCTGTGGACAGCCGAGTCAGTCTGGGCTGATGTCACCACGTGGATTAGCATTGACAGCGGAGTATGGAACTATATTTATTTCAAAAGTTCAGAGTGAGAAAAAACATTATCTAAGGTCCTGTCACGTAATTTCAAAGTGTGTGCTGTGTGCATGCTTCTGCCGTTTAGCACACGCATGCCGCTGAACGCGCTCAAAGCCAAATCCTGCTCGCCAAATGACTTTTCACAGTTTGGAGGCCAAAGAAAGTGACGCCCTGATGTGACAATGTAAAGTTTGTGAGTTGCATCGTGGCAGCAACACGAGCACCGTTTTACACCGGATTTGTTTACAATTTGGAAAATAAGTTATTATCAGCAACTATTGTTTACTGTGTAGCAGTAGAAATGCTGACGACTGTCACTAGATCACTTAAATACTGAAGAAACACTTCAAACCAGAAGATTTTAAAGTGTTGAAACCATTATTCTGGTGTACAATATAACATACCTTTAAAAAAACAAAACAAACAATGGTCATATCAAGGAGCAATAAAAAGGAAAAATATTTTTTGTAGTCAGTTGAGTAAACTTCCTTTTTCAGCAGCAGTCCTGTGAAAACTAAACTGAACCACCCTGAGCAGCCATAGCTGGAGGAGTCGTTTTCTTTGTGGTTTTATCAGACTCTCACATTGCTGTGGAGGACTTCTGTCTCCCTCTTCTTTACAAGTCATCGAGGTTTTTGGATCTTTGTTTGTGCTCGGCTAGCTTAAGGTCTGTCCACAGCTTTTCAGTCAGGTTGAGGAAAAGAATCAAGCCTCTGCAGTGGCCCAGTCATTCTGATAGAGTTGTTTCTGTGATTGGGATAACTGGGCCTTATCACTAATACGTCCCAAGAAATATCAGGATTCTTGAAACGTGCCCACCAACCTATTTTGTTCTTACAACTAAACTAAACCAACAGCTGAAGGGGAGAAAGAGGTAATGATGCTGTAAGACAGAAGCCTGCACCGCTGAGGGAAAAAGAAGGACAAAGTTTGACTGAACCTGAAACTATCAGAGGAGGAAGCCAGAAAGTTGTAGTGATGACTGCAGTGACGAGACAGGAAACAAAAGTAATTCACCAAGAAAGCAGCAAAGCTCGAGCTAATAAAAACAGAAACCAGGTATCATTTCTATCAGAACAAGACAAAACTCACAAAATTGAGATTCTCCAGCATCTCTGGGAAATGAAACTGTAAGACATTCAGCAACAACGGAAATCATTTCATTCTTATTATCATCAGTAATAGCAAAAGCAGTTTTCAATGTCAAGGCTTGTCTATGACAGCCTGGTCTAAATCGTACTTCATCGTCTTCATCTGTGGGTCTCAGTGAGTGTGAGGCGCTCAGATCATCATCCCACCGCCGCCATGCTGACAGTTGGTGTGAGAGGTTTGTGCCGTTTGGTTTTTCTCTTAAAGTAGAGATGCTGCTGTCTCCGCTTTGGTCTCGTCTGTTCATAGGACATTAAACCTAATTGAATCGCGAGTACACAAAAATCTGTACGTAAATTGTGTATACAAACGTTACACGTACAAATGTTGGTTATTTATCATCTAGCAGACTTTGTTTGCGCTTCATGAACACATATTTAAAGTGCAAACAAACAAGTTATGACGGCCCGGCTGTCTTTTGGTCATTATCTATAGGTTTCGAATACACCAGAAGCCACATCTGTCTTCACTGCAGCTCATCTCAGGCTGACACTTCACTTCCTGCTTGTCACTTACCTGCTTTCTTATTTTGCTTGTCATATTTTTGTCTTTTGCATATCAACATTGACCTCCAGACTTTTTTTTAAACTTAGTCACAGTGAGCATCTTAGCAGAAACTATTTTCAGAAGCTTTTCCGAGCTGGAGCTTTGATTTTTCATTATTAATATTTTTTTAAACTCAACAGTGGAAACACTTTGGAAAGCTGTGCCTTCTCAGGCTTCCTCTTTGGACACAACTCTTTTACTTCTTTCAGTCAGAGCTTCTCCAGTTTTGCTGGAGGCGGTCGTGTCTCAGGTGGTAGAGCACGCCATCTACCAATCAGAAAGATGGTCTATCCCTATCAGCACTTTCTGTGCTTCACCTGGAGGTAAACACTACACGCCTTTGGAACTTCATGTCAGGGGTTTGATTCTGTATCCAGGAAGGGTCCCTAGGCTAGACCCCCCTTCAGACTCTGCAGGCCTGCTAACTGAGGCCTTCAGAGTCTGGCGTGTAGCTCGTGGGCTTTTTGCAGTTTCTCTGAAGGCTGCATGGTCTGAGCTGGGGGGAATTTGCTGGAACGTGCACTCCTGGGAAGACTGTGTCATTGTGTTAACACACCTGACTGCTGCAGACTAGCAAACTGCCAAAACCTCTGATTTTACAGCTGTGGTCACACTTGATGATCAGTTAATCAAATGCTTTTGATTAACTGGACAGCAGTGAGGTTGTATATAGCTTTTCACAGGACTGTACCAAATATAACATACATTACCAAGTTACACTCAAAGTAACACGTTTAGAGAAACTTTCTGAATGGAGATATTTGAGCGCCACATAATTATTGATTACATATGTACACAAGATAAAAGTATATTATTTTACCCCGATGGTGTCCAACTCCTGGGCATTCCACCTGTTGACCTCATATGCACAGCACTCTTAGCTCCACCTCCAGATCCTGCTGCTGAAGAAGACGATGAGTTTAGCAGATTTTTTAGGATCTCTAGGTTTAAATTCTCCCGTTTGATGCTGCCACAGCTTGTTGCGCACGTGTCTGACTTGGCATTGTTATTGGATGCTTTGAAAGGTAACCCGCCTCCACTGCCTCCTCCACCGATGCCAGGACCTCTCTTGGATAGCAGGGGATGGCCAGCAGGTGGTTTAACGAGCACAGGTGGTTTGATTGGCTCCTGCTTGGCATTGATGACTTCCTGGCTCTTGACATACTTGGCCTTATCAGCTTCTAGTCTTTCAACAGCACTGAGGCGCTTAGGGTTTGGTTCCACCTGAGACACAGGTTAAAAAAGAGAGATGGCATTGAATCAGTCCCTTACCTTATTCTATATGAGCAGCAGGGGTAGGAATCGAGTTGTTTTGGGTTATTTCTGTGTGTTTTTTAAAAATCTGTTATTGTGTTCTTCTCACTCCTTGTCTGAAACAAGCGATAGGAGACAAACATGATACAACCCCGTTCATTTGGTGATGCAGCTGCAGATCATCTCGGAAGAGATTCACGAGTTCATAAAGTCAGGAAGTGTTACACTGCCTAATGTTGGAAATGTATCCACTCATCTTTTTTCCCTTTTGCATCACATAACGTTTGGACACTATAGAAACAGACACTGATACATCCTGATTTTTACCAAAGTCTTTCTACAAGCACGTCTCACCTATGCAGCACTGATGTACAGAATCAGCAAATGTTATTAAAAATGCTTTAAAATTTGGCAGCTTTGCCTTAGAAAAAGCTTTAAAACGCTTTTTCCCCAGCACGTTATATTTGTACTATGCAGGCACAGCTTCGCATCTGTACGAATTCTCTGGCTCGGTTTTAAAGGAAGAGTGCAGAGGTGATGAGCATTACAGGAACAAGAAAAACGACAGCACGCAGCTCCACCTCTGATGTGCATTTGGAACTGAAACAAGATAATGGCTCTGTGGTGATCGGGGCAGGTTAACTGCCATCTTTGCCATTACACAATCCTATTCTATGCTTATTTATATTTAGGACTTTCTGAGTTTCTCACAGCCCTAAATTTGCAACAAGCTTCCACACTTTAAACATTTACAGCTAAGTGCATATCTACAAGGTCATGTAAAAGTTGTTGCAATTGTGTTGCATGGTTCACAACAACAACACCCGATAGCCACAAACGCAGCCTCACGGATTCACAAGGCAGTGTATTCCCAGTTTCAGCCCCAAGCCTGGATAATATCCAATCATCTGTCTGTTAAGTCATCACTAAGTTAGCAGGCAACAGCTGTGACTACAACAACACCATAGGCATATATCTAATTATGTCTAATGTTGCTTCTCTTAAAATTCTTGATTAAAGTTGAGAAAAGTCTACGAGCAACTTGACGGCAACAGTGACAGCCTACATGATCAGCAACAGACGATGGAGCCCCGTCAGCAGAGCACAGCAATACTTCATACAACTCTAACTGTGACGTGGATTAAGACCAGTGTTAGTTCCAAATGGATGGACAACATTTTCTGACAGTGGTACAGTGGGTGTTACTACAACAGGATATTAATTGCATTGTAAAGAGCTAGCTAGTTCTTTTTAAGACAAGTTTCACTGTACAATACAGTCACAAATGGTGCAGGCATTTTGATCAGCGGTTATTAAAACACGGTATTATACGACTCACAAATGACCGATTATTATGGAATTATATTGGTTATACAAATGAGCTCGACCCTGGAATTTTGTGGGCAAAACGCTTAAAGTTATGACCTCTGACGCTTCAGTTCAATCCCACATTTACCTGAACAGATCTCTGTACATCCTAACACACACAGTACCTGTCTCCTGAAGTACTCGGGGCCCTTGTTGAGGATGCGGAGGGGTACAGTGGAACTGAAGGGCGTTGCAGGGCCAGCAGCCTTGCTATCTGGCAGGGCTGGAGTCAGTGTCTCTGTCGGCATGGCAACAAGGCGATTGGGGTGGTCTGCCGTGGTGGCAACGGGTGTGGGGGGGTCGACACGGGGTGGGGGCACCTGAGGACCCCCAAAGCATGAAGACAGAAGGTGTAGAAGAAAGTGTCTAGAGAAAGATGAAGCTCCTGGCTCGTCTCATCGCCCGTGGGACTGAACCGAACTCTGCGGGTGGGGGCAGTTACATCCACTTGTGTTCTTTCTATTAGCAGTGCTTCTACAGAAACAGCTGAGATGGTCTCCTAGTTTTTGGCGCTTGGATTCTGTTGATCTATTTGTCGAGCAAGATGGGCAGATAGATGATAGAAGGAGAGTGAACGAACAGGAAGAACAGTAGGAGTGTACTGGGCAGTGAGAGAAGTGGAGTTTCCAGCAAAAACACGGGACAGCAGGAGACCAAAGTCCTGCTGCTCTCCACCTTTGCTTCAGCGTTCTTTTCAGTTCACCACACGATCTGAAAGAGGTTAAAAAAAACAGAAAGAAAGACAAAAGCCAATCAGATTAGGGTAACACACTGACATGCACCTAGCAACAATAGCAGGAATAGCCAGGACCACAGAGGAAGTCCCTGCAAGGTGTCATGAATGGTTTGTCATCACACCAACAACAAGCTACACAACATTAAAAAGTGACAACAGTTATATAAACATCTTAAAGCGTTGTTGCCTTCATCCTGGAAAATACATTTGTTCAAACACAAGGTGCTTATTTTGGGCATTTCATCAGTCACACAAACTGATGGCTGCACCAGGGACAGTTTAGGATTCAATATCTTGGTCAAGGACACCTTGTCATGCTGTGAGCCACAGTGGGCCCACTGTCCACGCACAGTCCAAAGCTAGCATTTTGCACAGCACGAGTAGCTTAGAAGATCTTTGGGGGTGTTAAAGCAACACATGTTGGTATCCAGATGTCTTCTTCTGGAAAAGTCTTGATTACTTCAGAAATTCAGTATCACACCACACTCCTGATGTACAGCAGCATGGCTCCATATCACAGACTGCTGGTTTACCTGTCACCCACTGAAAACACTGGGACCACTGTAACACAACAACAGTCCTGGATGACTGAGCATCTGAAATCCTCTATCAAGCACCGATGGGAAAACCTTTGCCTTCCAAAGAGCTTTCTGTTTTCAGAATTTCTTCTCTTTTTATTTTCATTGAATTGCTAGTTGTGCCTTTCTGTTTAGCTAATATCCTGAAACCAAACGCTGTTCTTCGACCATGATTATGCAGCAGAGATTATTCGAAACATAGAGACTACAACGGGATAAAGAAGGCACTAAAGGAGAAAGGCATTCGTTTACAGACACTAATAAGAGAATTGACTGTGACAACGGAATCCGAACCTACAGCAACGCACACGAAGCAGGGCTGGAACGAAAGAGACGCTGCTTCAGCGTAGTGGTATCCGCTCTGAGAGAGGAGGATGCCTCAGCTGCAACCAGACGGAAGGAGCAACTAAAATGGCAACGCCTGGAAAAGAGCCAGAAGGAAGGCTGATCTACAGCTGCAGGGAGAGCCAAAGAAAAACTCTGGATATTCAAAAGGAGCACTCTGGAATGACTACGATGGTGTGGTGTGGGAACAACAACGGGTCAGATGTAAATTTGCTTCAGATGCTTATAGCTGGGAGCAGCTTTCGAAATTAAGAGCGCTGGACAAATAGGCTGGTGCTTGTTTCATCACTAGCCCCCAGCGTAGGGCCCTGTCTTTACGACAGGCCTTTCCCATGACCCACCAGCAGGGTTATGGAGCAGGACAGTTATCTGCCCCACCATTGGAGTTCACAGTATTATTTGGTCTTCTTCCATGTTAGGTGTTCTGTTACAGTTCTGGACTTTTATAGAGTATCATTTTTGTTTATAGGGCTGACTGTTGGAATGTTAATGGTCTTGGCAATCCTATAAAAAGGAGTGAAGTCACTGCAAAACTGAAAAAGGCAAGAGCAGCTTCTCCCAGAAACACACATGAAAACGAACATGAGAAGATGAAAAGCTAGGCTATATAAACTCTTTCTGCAGTTCATGTAAAAACAGCAGAAGGAGGGGGGTTATTACACTAATATCTAACCGCGTCAATTTTGAAGCGATGAAAGTGGAAGCCAATAAAGATGGTAGAGATGTCATTGTTAAAGGCAGAATCAACAGCACCGTGGTCGCCCTAGTCAATATAGACGCACCTCCAGAGTGACCTGACATGTCTCAGGCTTGTTTTTGATCAAGTGGTCTCCCTGAGTGAAGGTATTTATAAGAAGAAGGAATATTATATCAAACTACAACGAGCACTGGACAGCATACATACAACATACTGTGTCTAAAAATGTGGAAATGTTTTAAAAAATTAAGGAAAGTGAACTATTTGAGGTGCTGAGGGATTTCCATCCAGAAGAAAAAGACATTACACATTACTCTGCAACTCACAAGGTCTATTCCAGAACTATTTCCTGATGAACACTACAGAGAGACGGAGGGTCTCAGATTGTACAATTGGGACAGCTGACACATCAGATCATAACGCCATTCACCTGACAGTTAACCTGGAAGACTTAAAACGAAGGACCCAACAGAGACTAAACATTGGAATTTTGAACAAAAAACACAGTAGTGCAGGAAATAAAGAAAGAAACTCGAGATTGTAATAATTTAAACAAAGATAATGAAGTGGAACCCACAACAGTCTGGGATACGGTTAAGGGTGTAATGAGAGTGCTGTGGAAGTTTTAACATAAACTGCAAACACTGATGAGCATCTGGTTTAATCACATTGTCAAACACCAAAGTGGTCTCTAACAATGAAAAACAAAGCGTTTCTTTAAATACAGGGGTGGACAAAAACACACCTCTTACATATTGTCCCATCGCATGAGCCTATACCCTCAGTTCCCTCCTTGAAACCTTTCCTTTAAACAGAGAGATGCGTCCTTGTTTTTCACTTAGCCGTCACCCAGAGATTTACCTCTCGAATCCTCCCTGATAAGGGAAGGAGCCTCACCATCTGTTTAATGTCTCCCATGAACTCACAATGCCCCACTGTGTGTGTGTGTAGAACACATGCGATGCTATCCTACATGTATATAACTACAGTGGCTTGCAAAAGTATTCGGCCCCCTTGAACTTTCCCACATTTTGTCTCATTACAGCCACAAACATGAATCAATTTTATTGGAATTCCAGGTGAAAGACCAACACAAAGTGGTGTCTGTGAAGGTTCTCAGTCATCCAGGTCATCATAGCCAAAGGAGCTTGCAAAGAAAAGCGTCTGGACTTCTTTAAGTTGCTTGAAGACGTTTCACCTCTCATTCAAGAAGCTTCTTCAGTTCTGAACTGAAGAAGCTTTGCAACCTCCTTTGAATACAAAGTGGTGTACACATAAGTGGAACAAAAATCATACACGATTCCAAACATTTTTTACAAATAAATAACTGCGAAGTGGGGTGTG